CTGGGCCCCCCACTACAAAAAGGATGTGGATGCATTGGAGAGGGTCCAGCGGAGGGCAACCAAAATGATTAGGGGGCTGGAGCATATGACTTATGAGGAGAGGCTGAGGGACTTGGATCTGTTTAGTCTGCAGAAGCGAAAAGTGAGGGGGGATTTGATAGCAGCCTTCAACTTCCTGAAGGGAGGTTCCAAAGATGATGGAGAGAGGCTGTTCTCAGTAGTGACAGATGGCAATACAAGGAGCAATGGTCTCAAGTTGTGGTAGGAGAGGTCCAGGTTGGATATTAGGAAAAACTATTTCACTGGGAGGGTGGTGAAGCACTGGAATGAGTTTCCATCCCTAGAGGTATTTAAGTCTCGGCTTGACAAAGCCCTGGCCGGGTTGATTTAGTTGGAATTGGTCCTGCCTAGAGCAGGGGGCTGGACTTGATGACCTTCTGAGGTCTCTTCCAGTTCTATGATTCTATGATTCTAAGTTTTTCATGGGCTCTGAAATTACTGAGAGAATGGCTGACCCCTCCACTGACTACTATAGAGTATAAGGCAATAAAAATTCTGCAGAAGACTAGAAAAGAAATCACAGTTTTAGAATTCAACAGATTTTGTGTTTCTTAAATCCATGCAGGTAAAGCTGGGGAAATGCAGATAATCAAACTGAAAAAACAACAAACAGTCTAGTAACACTTTATAGACTAACAAAACATGTAGATGGTATCATGAGCTTTCGTGGGCACAGCCCACTTCTTCAGATGATACCATGATACCATCTTCATGATACCATCTACATGTTTTGTTAGTCTATAAAGTGCTACCAGACTATTTGTTGTTTTTTCAGTTTACCTATACAGACTAACTCGGCCTCCCCCCGAAGCAGCAGATAATCAAGTAAGAAATAGGCTGTTTCCTGTGGTTCAGGAACAAACCATATAACAGATGTGCTGAGGACCTCTGAAGCAAACTGCATACCCTATACGTGATGGAAACCACTTCAATTTAAGGTGTGTGGTGGGTGGCACATCTTTAGTTCCACCACCTATAGGTCTGTTCTTTTTTTAGCAAGTACATTGCTACATCATAACTTTTTGAATTTCATCAAGAACACCGAATCATTTACTACATGGGGAAAAAAGCCCCAAAGCAATAAACAGCAGGAAAACTGAAACTCTACTAGCAATGGGACCATCTTTATAAAAAGATACTTCATGGCACTGAGTAGTTCAGTTGAGAAGAAGTGGGTTTTACAGACTAACACAGGTACCCCTCTGAGACTTTCATGACACTCAGTTATTGCTAAAAATGAACACTTTGCATTTCAAAATAGGGCTTGAAGATCAGAAAGGTAGAAATCTAGGGAAAAAAATATCTGAAAGGTTCACAGTATGGAATTTAAGGCCCTGATTGATCAAGGCAGTTATACATGTTCCTAACAAATATCTAAGCAATAAGGTCATTTCCTCACTTACAATTATAAAGCCATGAAGAAAATTTCCCTTATGAGTCATCACATTTACAATAATATAAACCATTTTACCTGTAATAAACACGTAACGTCTGAATTTCTTCTTCTAGTTTTTTATTCTGTTGAACAGCAGACTCTCTCTCTTGCTGCACAGCTAGCAACTTTGCCTGCAAATAGATAGGCGGTAATAATTAAAGAGAAGATTGTGCTGTTTTAGGCACAATAAAAATACAATCCTTTATTAATGTTAATGTCAGTTCTCTGTTGTAGGTTTAATCTAGATATTAGAAATTTGTGTGTTTGTCCGTGAGTCCTTTTGTTTACCTTAAACGGTAAGAGCTAGAGACACCAAATTTGGTATGCAGCTTCCTCTTCTCCTAACTTAAAAGCAAGGTCTGCCAGGACAACCAGAAGCACAGAGAAAGATATTGTTTTCCTTAACATAGAAAACGATGCAATATTAAGAGTGTCCATTGGGGGCAGCCATTCCATCAAGGTAGTGGCCAGCAGGGTTGGGGCCCCGCCATCTTACCTACCACCAGACTGGGTAAGTAGCCCTCCTGTCCTAAACCCTTTTTCTCCCCCCACACCAGTTCTTGGCTGAAGCACCGGAGAGGTAGGAGAGAAAAGGCTCCTTGTGACTGGTGGAGGGTCAGGGGCAGAGAAAAGGCAGCAGGTGTCTGGCGGAGGGCTGGAGGGAGAGAAAAGGCTCCTGGCAGCTAGGAGTGGGGAGACTGGAGAACCCCTGTCTATAGTGGGCTCCGCAGGGTTGGAGCAGCCCCCACTGGTTAACTGGAACAGTCAAGCATCACCAGTTAAGATAATGCTTACGGGTTAACCAGTTAAAGGGGGGGGGGGGGGGGGAAGAGAGAGACAAAAGGCCTGTGCCGGATGAGATCCCTGCCCTGAGCACCTCCTTAATCCCCAACTCTTACTCTTTCACCCCCAACCCAACATCTTGTACTTCCCTTCCTACCCCCAAGGCCCTGTCCTGACTCCTTCATCCTCCAAACCACACAGCTCCCTGCCCTGAATGCCAGGTAGGTCTTCTAGTTATACATAATAGTAGTCCTCTATAATATTACTAAGACATTCTTATTAGGTTAATATACTATTGTGTGTGTAACTACTGACATCTTTCAGTGGGTAATGCACTAACCAAATTTCCTTACTTTTCTCTACTGTTTTTCTGTACTCTCAGTTCCCATATTCATTTTCTTCTTCAATTTTATCTTGATGTTTGTCAACAAATATATTTACATGGTATTCAGAAAGCTAAACCTTGAACTAAAGTACTGCTTATAGAGTGCCAAGAAAAGATATTGATTGTCAAAGAAGAGGTCTGGAGATATAAGTGTATGTATGTTTAATATAGAATTATAGCATAATCACTTGACTATTTAGAAATCTAATACTATTTAGAAATACAGGACTCCCCAGAATACTTAGGTTTCATATAATTTATTTAATGCCTCACAGGATGATTAACTGATTTAACTACAAATAAGACTGGGCTTGCACTGCATTTCTATTGTACACCAGGCAGACTTCCCTACCATTTAATTTTTTTGTATATTATACATTATACACATATTGCAGATCAACCAATTAGCAGAAGTCATAGGCTGTGTCTAGACTGGCAAGTTTTTCTGCAAAATCATCTGATTTTGCAGAAAAACTTGCCAGCTGTCTACACTGGCCGTTTGAATTTCCGCAAGAACACGGACGATCTCATGTAAGATTGTCAGTGTTCTTGCGGAAATACTGTGCTGCTCCCGTTCAGGCAAAAGCCCTCTTGTGCAAATCATTTGCGCAAGAGGGCCAGTGTAAACAGCACAGTACTGTTTTCTGCAAAAAAGCCCCGATCGCGAAAATGGCGATTGGGGCTTTTTTTTGCAGAAAACCGCGTCTAGATTGGCCACGGGCACTTTTCCGCAAAAAGTGCTTTTGCGGAAAAGCATCCTGCCAATCTAGACGTGCTTTTCTGAAAATGCTTTTAACAGAAAACTTTTCCGTTAAAAGCATTTTCGGAAAATCATGCCAGTGTAGACGTAGCCATAGGATATAAAACCAAAAAGTGTGCAACTCCTTAGTGCAGGAATGGGCAACCACAAATAATGGGTGGGCCACATGAATGGCCCTCCTTCTCCTCAGTTGGCTGCAGCAGCCGACAGCCCAATGGGGTTCCACTTGTGGTCCCAAAACCCCCGTCTGCCCCTCACTTCCTGAGCATTGGGGAACTGGAGCCACACACTTCCTGAGCATTGGGGAACTGAAGCTCCACACTTACCTGCTCCTCTCTCTCCCTCCCAGAGCTGGAATGCTACAAACAGCTGATTCGTGGTGCTCCAGCTCTGGGAGGGAGGGGGAAGAGCAGGAACATAGGGTGAAAACGATGATATGCAGTTCCTCCGCAGGTTACCCGCCAGTGCCTTCATGTATTCCCATGTGTGAATTCTGCTAGTGTTCCCCAGCTTGGCGCCCACCAATTCCTTGAGGCTACAAAAAAAAGTTTCTCGGTGAATTCTAGATGTGATAAATGAGCTGTGGCTACGTGGAGTGGAAGGATATGCTTCAGGCACCGGACTGGGATTGAGTAGATCTAGATTCACTTTCTAGGTCTGCCAGACTCACTGTATGACCGTGAGCAACTCAATCTGTTTGTGCTTCAATTCCCCATCTGTAAAACTGGAGATAATAATACTTCTTTTCATCCACCTTTCTTTTGTGTATTTAGACTATAGCTCTTCAACACAGGCACTGTCTTTTACTATTTATATGTACAGTGCCCAGCAGACAGAGGCTCTGAAATCAGTTGAACTTGTAGGTGCTACTGTAATGTAAACAAATTATAAGAAGCTGTTAAAAGAATAAACAAGCACAGACCATTTTATTACAGACACCACCTCTTTTAGTCTTGAAAGTGAAGCATGTTAATGCTTAACCCCTCAGTAACACAGATTTAGAACTCCTGATGCTAAATGGCAATGCACTTTGCATTAGCATTTGGAGCTGGCAAGCCCTAACTAGCAACACAAAGAGGTTAAAATAACTCTCCAGGTAAGCCATTTAAGTCCTGAGCCCAGTGCTGCTTACAGCATCGCAAAGAGAACTCACAGAACACAAGAATGTTAGCCAAACCAAGTTATTTTCTATAATTACACTGTACAGTAGGTGAAACAACATACTTAAAAATTGGAAAAAACATGCTTGAATCAATGTAGGTGGTTTTTTCTAGAAGCCAATAATTAACATCCTTGCCAATTTTCAGCGTACTGTGAAGTGTGATTGAAATGGTAGACTGGAAGGAAATGTTTGCAGCAGACACACCTACGCACAGAGAGATTAACGGCTAGTCTCTTTAGGGAGGAATATGAAAAATACACGTAGCATTCAAGTCACACTTTTCAGGACAAAGTTCAGAAGACATTGGGACCTGAGCCTCTTATATATGCCAGCACTGATGCCACTGATTTCACTGGAGTTTCATCTGATTTACACCAGCAAAAGTGAGAGTAGAAACCAGCTCATTAGATTCAAGATAGTAAAAATAAGAAAAACAGAAAAGTAATAGGGTTGTTACCAATCTTCTCACCACATGATGGGTGAGGTAACAAAAAAATTTCAGCCTGAGCATGTGATCAGCACAGGGAAGGGGCAATGGGGAGGGAGGACGGATTTAAAGAGAAAGCAATAGGGAGCACCAAGCAGTGAGAGTATTCATCTGAGATGTGGGAGACAGGGTCAAGTTCTTGCGCCAGCAATTATGGGGTGATTTTTCTCCTCACTCACAGCTGGCAAAGCTATTCCACGTGCATACATAATTAAATGTTCCAAGGGCCAGAGAAAGCTAATTGTATAGCTTTGTGGTTATAGTCAGGGCCGATGAGAGACTTTGCTGGGGGGAGGTAGGAGTGGGGCTGTAGGCTAGTGTCCCCCAGCCAGCCCTCCAGCACTGCTAGAGCTGCAGGATTCACACCATAGGGCTCCAGCAGCAATTTAAAGGCCCAATGTTCTGGCCACTGCCGAATCACTGGGATCCAGGCAGCTTGCCTCCTTTACCCCCCCTGTTCTGACTGATTTGGAGCTTGTATAGAGGAAAAGTCCTGAAGACTATTTCAGGAGTGGATAGGTTCAATTGTTTATGATTGGTGCAGCTGTGGGGTGATGAGGATTTATGAGTCTCTTAATCCTAGAGCTAAATGAAAACTAAATGAATGCAGATGGCCAGCAGAGAATTACCCTGCATCGCAGATACCCCCTTCTGGCTTTGGTGTGCAGACTCCATGTTCTGCACCCATTTTCCAGAATCTAAAGTGCAGGAGGGGTGCACTGCATTTTTACTTCCACTAGCAGAAGGTCTATAAGGGCCCTAAGTTAGAAGTGGAATTTAGATCTCCCTCCCAGCAGATCTAAACTGAAATGGAGCTAGAGATGGCCTATGTACCAGGGCACTATAACTGGCTCCCTAACAATTCTCCTGTGCCTAACAGAGATCTGGTGCAGGACAGACTCTCCCCTTTAAGTGTCCATAAACATTTATGACTATTAACATAGCTGAAATGTTTCCACATGATGGAAAGTTGTTACTGTGTTCAAGCATGATTTAACTGAATCAAGAAGCAAACATGAAAATGTTAAATTTCACCTCAGCAGCAAATTTACAGAATAAGTGTTGATCTTTCCTCCTAAATTTTCAAAGTGGCACCACGATTCCGTTATGCCTATCTTAATGACTTAAATGATATTCACATAACAAAGGACCTTGCATACTTTCAGTAACCAGGTTTGGTTCTTTAAAGGATTTGAAGCCACAGACAGAGGAATACTTCTTTTTAGCGTTAAACAAATATTTTTATTTTTCTATTTACTTTATAATTAATTTTTCATTTAAATCAATTCACTATCTTTGATTCTTTTAAGACAATGTAATATACAAATAAAAAGTAGAAAAACAGTACAGTTAAAAAACAAGAAATAATAATTCCTCCTACAGATATACCCTCCAGATTTACTTTTAAACAATTTATAGAGTTAACAAATATATAATACTCAGGTAAAGAAAGATAGAAGCATTGCTTAGATTCAGGAGATATTCTTTTCTTTTATGTTTCTCCTTTTTTGGATTTTTTTGTTGCAACTTACGACCGGTGTTGTTCCCCTTTCG